GCACTTGCAGGGCAAAGGGTTCCTGTCATTGAGAAGCTTCTGCTCTTATGTGGGACACAGGCCAGTAGACAGGTGTGAGGTGCAGGTAGGCAGGTGTGAGGTGCAGGTAGGCAGGTGTGATGGTCGGGTAGACCGAGGCGGCGTGCTAATGGGAGAGGGAACGAACAGAGCCTTGGGGACACCTTGCTTTATTGCGAGGCGGCGTGCTAATGGGAGAGGGAACGAACAGAGCCTTGGGGACACCTGGCTTTATCAAAGGCATTGAATGGATGGAAGAGCAGTGACTGAAGCTGAGCCGTCCAGCCTATGACTGTTAGAAAGGGGAGACTTCTAGGAAAGCTCTGCTTTCTCAGATGGGCCATGAACACGTCATCTGTCTGCTGCTCTCTGATCCTCTAGCCGGGCGTGTCAGGGACCGACACTGTGCCGGGAGCCATGGCCGCTTGCCGAGACAGTCGGTGCTGAAATACAGCCTGCCCCCCCAGGGGCCTGCAGCAGCAGGGACGTCCCACAGCTTGTAGGGACCAGGCCCTGGTTCCCCCGTACCCTGGTTAGTACGCAGTTCTGGGAGCAAATGTGATACGGCAGAGGCCTGCATTTGAATGGTGTCCCTCTCGCTTATTTTCCTAGAGCTGCTGTGGATTGACTGGAAAACTCCCCGTCTCAACACCCACGAAACACAGTTACCAGAACCAGGAATAGAAAGACACCCACGGCTTTTTAAGCAGGTCAGCGGGGTGACTGAAAGCCCCAACTTCCCTCAGACACACTATCGGGACACTGGGACGGCAGAGCAATTAGAGACACAGTTGCTACTGAGGAAAAAAAAGTAGCAAATGCTGCTAGATTTAAATTTTTCTTGTTTGTTAAATTGGACTCTGGCCAAGTTATAAAACTGAAGATTTAGATTTTAGAAGGAAATGCAACAGCCTGCTGGTTCCAGAGTGACAGCAGGTCTCGCAGAAACCAATGTTGTTATGCAACACTGACGGAGGGCAAAGAGTCCCTTAGGCGAATCTGTGCCCTGCACTCTGCTCAGATACAACCGGGGTGAGATCTGAAAGCTTCCTGGCGTTGTTATTGTCATCACCACAGCACATGTGCCCCTGGGTCCACTCCCCCATTGAGACAGAACTTGGTGGGGTCGTCCTGTATGCTCCCAGAGACCCCTAAGTATTTCCCTCCAGGATAAAACATCTTTAGCTAAAATTGCTGATAGTGAGATTGCAGGTGACCAGTTCTGTTCGCGTCTCCCCATGGGTGGAGCAAATCTCATCTCTGCGGGGACCTGCATGACCAATGGAGCCACTGCTGTGCCCAGAAAAGGCAGGTGTCTGCTTCAGTGAAGAGTTTGCTTGGACACATGGGGACTGCACCGGGGGGCGGCAGGGGGGCACCCACCAAGGAGACTCACAGGGGAGGGTCCTGAGCCTGGACGGTCAGTTGGACGTAGCTGGACCATCAGCCCAGCAGCATGGCTTCCTCTGCAAATGAGCTTTGCTTACCTGTGCGGTGTGGTGCTGTGTTGTGTAGCAGCGGCTCACCTGTGCCATGTGGTGCTGTGTCCTGTTCACCCGGGTGGCTGTTTGCTCAGTTCTGAAACCAGGGATGTTAGCTAATTTGACAAACCACAGGTCGGGAGCTGCCTGGGGCGGTGCTGTGAGAAATGATTCCACCACGGCTCACAGATTCAGGCCTGATCACAGCCGGCCTGAACCTGGAGCAGCAGTGCAGCTGCGATGTGTTTGCTAAGACCCTGCACCGAGGACGCAGCCCAGAGAAACACGGGTGTTGCTGGTTTGGAGCTGCGGGCAGCAAGTTTTGTGTTGTCATTACACAGCTGAATATTCTGGGGCAATTCTCTTAACAGGGACGTCTCACCAGTCTCATGGTTTGCTGTGTAGGTGCTTGTGTGCATGTGTGTGAGTGTGGCCATAGTAAGTGTGTATAGGTGACTGTGTGTGAGCATGTGTGTGCATACATGTGTGAATGTGTGGGTTCATGTGCTCCCAGGTGAATGTGTGTGTAGGTGAGTGCAAGTGTGCACACATAGGTGTGTGTGTGGGGTGTGTGTAGGTGAGTATGTGCATGTAGGCGAGTGCACTGAAATAGCTGAGTCTGTAATGTTTAGTGAGAAGAGAGGTGAAAGCCAGTTGACAGAGCAGGTGGCAGGAGGGTGGGTCAGTGGTGGAGTCTAACCAGCGAGTGACATGATTTGGGGGAGTTCTGAGGCCTCTCTGACAGCCAGTTGACAGAGCAGGTGGCAGGAGGGTGGGTCAGTGGTGGAGTCTAACCAGCGAGTGACATGATTTGGGGGAGTTCTGAGGCCTCTCTGACAGCGAGTCCCTCACCTCAAATGAAGGGAGGTGGACGGGGCTGTGCTGCCTGAACCTGTTGGAAACTCGGACTCAGGGCCCGCCCCCACCCCACCCCCTTTACAAGATGCCTGGGATCCATCCTAGAGAAAGTTCCAGAAGCTGTACCCCCCCCCCCCCATGTCTGCCTCTCCTGCTCTGCATTTATTGGATTCTATGAAAAGAACAGAGGCTCTTAAGAGGCTATAAAGGGACTGGCTGAGCAAGCGAGCATCGCGCCAACGTTAACGTTGGCTCACCTAGCGATTGCTGGGGGCCAGTGCAGGTGGGGGCGGCGGGGCGTCCGGGCTGCTTCTGGGCCGAGAGAGCAAGGCAGCTGTTAAACAGCCATTATTAAAGGTGAACTTTCATAAACCTGCCGTGACAGAAACACATTAAAGAACAAAGCTCATCAACTCCTACGTCCTGCATGTTCTTGTTCTCTTTGCTGGTGCGGTCACTGTGTCGGTCTGAAACTGGCCCAGGTGGGGGTTCACTCCACAGAGGTCAGCAGATGTGACAAGTCAGCCCCTGCTGATGGCGGGGGCCTCACCTGCGGCCGCCCATCTACCTGTCCACCTGCCTGTCCACCCACCCTCCCTCCGGCCTGCGTGCCTCCCTCCCCCGGGAACCTGCTGGGCGCCCTGCTTCCCCCTGGCTTTCCACAGGGCCAGGCTCAGCTGGGCAGAGCCCCAGAAAGCTTGGTCAGTGGGAGGTTTAGCGCCTCAGGCCATCTGCACATCTGGCTGCCACCAGGAGGCCACTTACTATCCCCACCCCAGAGGGGAGGCAGCTCCTCAGCAATAACGTTCACGGCTGTGAACGGGGCAGCAGCTGTCGCTGCTCTGCTCCGCTCCACCCCAGACATGCAGTTGGGCAGGACCGGCCTCCGTGGTCTCTCCCTGCCCTGTGCACCTGGGTGGGGCGTGTCTTCCAGGGACCCAGCGCCTGGCCCAGCGCTCAGTGAATGTGTGAACTGGACGCTTGGTCCTCACAGGGTGGCTGCCTCGTCTAGGATTGAGACCATCCACAGAGAAGGGGAGAGGCAGCTGCCCCCACTCACCTCGATCTGGTCCTCCACCTGGTGGGTGCTCACAGCCCTCTCCGCAAGGTTGAACGGGCATGTCAGGTGATCGCCAGGGTGGGGCTCCCTGAGGCCCCAGTCCCGGGTCTAAGGTGGCAGGAGCCACAGCCTCCACCCTCCAGTGGCCTAAGCTCCTGTCTGCCCTAGGCTTGCTGGGGGCAGGGCTCCAGAGGGTGAGCGCTTCCGTCCGTCTGCTGAGGCGGCTAAAACTCACCAGGCTCCCATGGAGGCTCACATGCTCTGTGCTGCAGCGACAGCCTGAGCCCCAGTTGCCCTCTGGGTGTGTGTGCATGTGTACATGTGTGCGCATGTGTGCGCATGTGCACATGAGGTGGGAAAGAGGCTTACTCCTGCCTCCTCTCTGCTGGTGTGTCCCAGAGGGTCTGGAGCCGTGTCCGGGGTGCTGTTTGTCTCTGCGGCTGAGACACAGGACAGCAGTGTCCTGCCCGGGGTGAAACAGCTCCACCCAGTCCTATCAGTGGGTCACAAAACTGAAAACAGAAGACACTCCGAGGACCGGCTGCCCCACCCCAAAGCGCTGGGACCTGCTCTCCTGCTCGGGCTCCTTCCCGGCTCCCGGCCTGCGTTTGAGCCAGGAGCACAGGCAGCATTGCTGGCGTTTGCCTGAGCCCCTCAGGAACAGGGGCTTCTCCAGAGACACGCCCAGAACAGGGACAAGGACACCCTGGGGTTGGGCCAGGTGCCTGGAAATTGTCACAGTGAGACCCACACTTGGCCTCCAAGAATGGCACTGGAGCCACCAGGCCTGCCACGTCCTCCCCCAAGTGTGGAAGAAAGGAAATGACCTTCATGCAAAGTGGAGGGATTCTCTGGATGAGGACGGTCTGGAAGTCCCACAGTCACACCTGGGGAGGGGAGAGTTCTGCATGGTGTCCGGGGGCACGATGCTCACAAATGCGACAGCCTGAGCAGCTTGGGGAAGGAGCCTCACAGGCTCTTAGGTGGGAGAGCAGCCTGGTCACGGTCCCTCGTGCAACCGCCCTGCCACCTCGCGAGGCCACACACTCCTGGTCTCTGGTGTCCTCCACTGTAGCCAACGTCTGGCAGGGTTCACAGAGGAGGACACCAAGGGGCTGCCTCAAAGGAAGTGAGAAGGTTCACCCCAGAACCCGCCGGTCGTGCTGACCGGGTCAGCCCAGAGGTCTGGGGACAACGGGATTTGAGGACAGGCCACCCTATGACCCGATGTCTGGCTGCCAAGTGTGCACAACGAACCCCATTCCACAACTTGCCAGTGAGGGCTGCAGTGCTGCCCTCTGCTTCCGTAGGTTCTCACATCTAGTTTCACAAACCAAATAATCAGAAACCAGTGACCTTCCACATTCTTCGTGCTTTGCTGCACAAAATGTCCCCATAACGGAGACCCTCAGCCATGGTTGCCTGACAACAAACTCCCAGGGCTGGGACCTCCCGGCACCTCCCGGCACACCGAGTCCCCTGCTCTACAAGCTGGGACAGGGACAGGGACAGGCTCGGGGTGGCGGGCGCCCCCTGAGGTACGGAGGATAGCCCGCTTGCAGCTACAACACACCAGACAGAAGAGCTTATAAAAAGGGCTTTTATTAAATGGAGGAGACACCTGTTCGGTGGGTCAGATATGAAATATACAAAACTTTACATCAGATCAGAGGAGCAAGAGCGGACGCCGGACTGTGCTGGAACCTGGTCCCGGAAACATAGGGACACAAGTTTCAGGGACCCGGATGTCGCTCAGAAACGAGCCCTGAGGGTCACAGAGGCAGCCCAGGCCTGTCCACATGTGAACACAGCCTCTCAGAAACCCCTGCACATCTGGTAACTTCAGTGTGAAACGCCAGGTTCTTGCCACGTCTGTCTCGTCAGAGCCCCACCTTCGCCCTGAATGGTATGCCGTGGGATTTAAAGGAAAACGCCCTCCAGGCCCCTATACACGGCAGGAACCACAGTCCTGTGCGGCCGAGCTCCACAGATCTTTGGCATGGCCCATGCTTCGTCACGGTCACAAAAAAAGTAGACTTTCCGGTAGTAAAACTTCTCAAAACACCCATTTCTGCAAAATAATGTTTCTGTATGTGGAGCTTTGCGAATAGACACGTCTTCCTGGAGAGAAGGAAACCCCATGTGAGGGCCAGCAGAGGATGTCGAGGTGTCACAGGAGGGGAGGTGACGTGTGCGTCCACCCTGGGGAGCCGTGCAGGTCACATGAGGTCGAGCTCCGCCTCCAGCGCAGCGGCCATCTCGTCCGCCTCCGAGCTGCTCCCCTCCTCGTCCTCACAGCTGGACTCCCTGCTGGACTCGCTGGCCGCGTCGTCGTCGTTCAGCTTCCTCTTGTGGCCCCTGAAAGAGAAGCACTTGCTGTGAGATGCTCCCACACAGCACCTGTCCGTCTGCCAGGGGCTTGCAAATGCCAAGGGGCTTCCAGTCTCAAAATGGGAGCAAACCACAGTTCTGAGGTGGAGGACACAGGCAGGGGCACCGACCCAGGACCACAACACAGGCTCCCTCTGCTTCCTTCATGCGCATTTCAAAGGACCTCGATGTGGTTGGACAACAGAAGAAACAACTACAACAAAAGACCCACTGCCGGCGAACAGTAAACAGGCTCAACCCCAGAGAACATAAAGGACGTAAAGAAAAGCGGCAGAGTGAGAGGCCCGTGCTCCCTGTCAGCTCCAAGGCCTTGGCTGCTGTGGAGCAAACCGGCTGGAACAGGACTCAGGACAGGCCAGCACCTGCCCGGTAGGAGCTCAGGCGAGAGCGGGGCCTCGTCACTCTGGGTGGCTTCAGGCCTCAATCGGCCCACACGGAGTGGGTGCAGTTGCAGACGGGTGGATGGTAGGCAGGCAGGCCAGGTGCTGGGCCAGGACGAGTGACGCGCTGTCCAGCCCACCTTGGAGCTGCCACCTCTCTTCCTAACACATGGCGGGCGCTATGCACAGCCATGGGGCCCTGGACTACCTTCCACCTAAGAGCCGGGACGAAGTGCTCTCCACAGGGCTCCGGACGGTGTTGGCTCTGATTATACAAAGAGCCACACACACGGCAGGCCACCAGGCCCCAGGGAAGATGGGCGAGTCTTACAGACTCGACAGAGGCCATCCCAGGTGGCACCCTGGCAGCCCACTGTTTCCTCAGGCAGCTGTCAAAACGACTTGGATAAACAATAAACTGCAACCACACCGGCACATTACATAACCAGCCAACGTCATCACCCTTCTTTTTAAAAATTTTCATTTTTTGCTATCTTCACCCGAGGATATTTTTTCCATTGATTTTTAGAGAGAAGGGAGGGAGGGCGGGAGAGAGAGATTGGTTGTCTCCCATACTCGCCAACCACTGAGAAACACCGGCGAGGGCGCTATCACCCTTGTTGTGGCCCTGCAGACCACTCAGCTCCCTGACGAACCTGCAGACTTGAAGAGGATGCGGTGAGACGTGAACAGCGCATGGCTCTCCCTGAGGCCTTGCAGGCCGAGGTCCCACTGCGCTGAGACAGACATTCAACCACAGCTTGAAAACGGTACCCGAGGAACCCACCTTGTCCTGACTTTACCCCGACACGGGACCGCACAGCGCAGCTCGTGTCACAGGCCCGAAAGGTCTCCTGAACAGACTGCTCAGATGGTGATTACCTGTGACAGGTACGGTACAGAGCTAGGCAAACACAGCATGTGTGCAAGAACAGCATACATGTAACACAACAATGTAACATGTTTCAATCACACACAACACGTAACTATATGCAGCATACATGTGCCGTGTAAGCAAACACATACTGCAGCAGCTCCAGTCTGCAACTACAACTGCTGATGTTAGAAAAACCTTGTAATTTATTTACGAAACAGAAGAAACACTACCAGCAAGGTCAGAAGGCCTTTGCCGAGGGCTCTGCACCTGCAGAATAAAGAACATGCCCTGGGTGGATGAGGATCCAGGCATCTGTCCCCATCACAGATCTCGTTCGAGGTCCTGGCCCGCCCACCTGCGGCGGGGACATGGGACCCATGAGGTAACTCTATAGTGTGACGCGTGGCCACGTGGTCTGTCTCCCGTCTCTGGGAAGCCACGTCTGGGGCAGAGGAAGGACCACCTGAATCTGACTGGCAGGCTCTGCTCCCGAGGTGGCACTGGGCAGCGTGTTTGCGTCTGTGAATTTTGGATCCTGGTCGATTCCACCTGCCCACACCTGAGTCTGTGCCTTTTGATCACATGATCTCCATCGATCCATCTCCAAGTCTGCTAATCCTTCTGCAGGTTCAAATCAACGCTGGGGCCCTCTGGTGGATTTCCATTTAGGTGTTAAACTTTTCAATTGCAGCGCTCCTGTCTGACAGCGTCTGCTAGATGAGGCCTTGTCAGTAATTCATTCCGTCTGAAGACTCGGTCTGTGACCGCCGACACCTGCTTGCCTGTGGCTGTCTTCCTGTGTGGGTCAGACTCTGCTGTCTCTATATAATGTTTTTGCTAGAAAGTGGACATTTTAGTTCCCATGTTGTAGCAGCCCTGGGTCCTGTTCTCCCCTCCCCGCAGGCTGGTTACTGTTGCTGTTTAGTGACTGGCTGGACTGTTTTGGTGAAGTCGCTGTCCCCAAAGTGTGGGCTCTCTGGGCTCAGCCTCGGGCATGGGCACAGCCCTTAGAAAGACAAAGGCAGAAAAACAATGACACCACTTTTTATCTGTCGCGATGAGCAGGTGTGGACAATGAGCACAGCCACTTGTTCTGAGGGGAGTCTGATTGGCACCACCTTCCACAGAGGACAACCGTCAGCAGCTACAGGTTAAAAGTGCAAACACCTTTCGACCGGCAATTCTGCTTTCAGAGATCCACCGAGTGATGCGCTCAAGTGCATGGGGCAGGCCCCACAGCACTGCTTGTGGCAGAAGAGACTGGACACAGTGCAACTGTGTCCACAGATGTGATGAATGCCCAGGGGTGCACCGAAGACGGCAGGGCAGGGCAGGAGCAGGCACGACGGTGCGTAACCACGGCTCCAGTGGGGGAGCGAGTGAGAACTTCACTGAGGAAGTGCTGTGTTTCCTCCATTTTAGAGATGACAAACCCCCAGTGTATTAAAGCGAACCTTCCAGGTCAATCAACCACCTGGAACACCTTCCACACCTGTGTCCACATGGAAACATGGGGTCGGTGCTCAACGGAGGTGGGTGGGCTGGACGCGTGCCAGGAATTCAGCCCCTGAAGATGGGGCAGTTTTCCTTGTGCTCCACCGACCGGATGGGACGGCCACGGCGCCAAGACTGACATTTCCTGGCACTCGGAGAACAGTCTTTGGTGAGGGGAACGGCTGTGACTACTGTCCACAGGTCACGATGGAAACTTCTCCTTCCCACCCTTCTGACCGGACGTCTTCACTCAGCCGCCGACTCTATAAAGAATCGGAAGGAAGTCTTACGTGACCTTCAGGTCACCCTGAAGCCACACCTCCAGGCAAAGGCCAGTGCAGCGCCCACTGGAAAAGCTCTGGTTTGGGCAAATGCTTTCCAAATGCACCGACTTATCTCAGGGACTGACCTCCGGGAGCCGAAGCCCGGCTGCCGTGCGCACAGAACAGGCATGTGGTGGCTGTTGATCTGAAGGAGGAACGAGTCAGTTCTTGGCAGAGAAGCAAAAACACACCCCTTTCTACTTCCGAGAAAACACACTGTCAAGCTCAGTGGCATTCAGATTCCTCAGAACAGCTTGGCCCGCGGGATTAGCACAATGTACTGCCAACCGCACGTGTGGCATCAGCATGGGCCGTGCCATCGCACGGGGAAGTCGTCACGAACCGAAACAATCCACATGCAAACAACAAAAACTCCAACAGCACTATTTACTGAATTTCAAATGAAACACAGTGTGCTCAGCTCAGCGGCACTCGGCCCAGTTGGAGTGCCCATGTCCACTTCCGCCCCAAAGGACAGAGCCTGCAGGCCGCGCCAGTCCTCTCCGGGTCTTTGAGAAAACACTTTGTTCCTCTCTTTCCCAGAGAGAAGACAGCGCCAGGTTAAAAACTGCTAACCGGAGCACGTGCCACAGATCGATGAGATGACACCTCACGTTGGGACACCACTCGGCAAGGCCCCGTCCTCATGCCCCTTCCCCAGAAACGCAGGGGATGCTCGCAGAAATGGAGACGCAGCGAGCAGAGTGACTGTGTGCGGCTCGTCACCCAGCACAGATTTATCACGTCAGCTGGGCAGCTCGGCCTCAGAGCCGCTCAGCTCAGAGTGGCCACCTCGAGGGAGGTGTGCGTGTGCTTGAGAAACTGCTGAAGCTGGAACAGGGACAATCTGCCCCCACCTGTGGCTGTCACTCACCTGGGCACACACAGCTTAGGGGTCAGACCTGAAGGGCGTGAAGGGACTCAGCCAATAAAAGGCCTGCAGAATCAAATTCAGTTCTGGGTGAGCTGGTGGGATAGTGGGGGCGCCATGAAAAACAGGAACTGTCACCACGTGTCAACCGTGCCATGGGCCCAGGCCCGCTACCTGCATAGCAAGGTGCTCCTGCCAGGGCTCGGGGGAGGCTGCTGCGGTTGACACACGGGGCCCGGCGCCCTCCAGGTGAGACCAAGACGGAGGGGCGGGCTGCCTGGTTCACACTGTAAATGCAGCAGCATGTGGGAGAGACACGGCCCCTCCTGAAGGACAAACAGCTGCCTGAGCAACAACCGAAACCATAAAGTCTGGATAAAAACCACATCTTCACGATGTAACCCTTAGAAATGTTCACATGTAAAGAAGCTGTGTCCGCGCTGTTTCAGAAAGAGGAGTGACCCTGGCCTCTCAGGACCACGCAGCACCTTCGGGTCCCCGGCCCCCGACTGCTACGGGTGACAACGATCCAGCCATCTGGTCTGTGAGCCCCGTGGAGACCTGCCTGTGGTTGTGGAGTGAGCATCATGTCTGAGCAGAAGGTGCCGCCACTCCCGGGGACAGCGTGGGGGCCTGGGCCCTGTTCCTGCCGAGCCCTCCCCTAGGGCCGCCCTCCTTCTCATCCAACCCTCACTCTCACCCACCCTCCCCGGGCCCACCCTCACCTGGGCCCCCGGGCCTCCGCTGCACTCCTCTCGCTGGGTGACTTCGACTGGAGTGTGTGCCCCCTCTGGGCTGCTGGGGCCTTGGGCTCCCTGGGCTGAGGTGCCCCATCCTGCTCCTCCTCCTGCTCCTCCGGCTTCTTCTTCTCGCTGTCGCTGTCATCGCTGCCTTCTCCTAGGATGTCGTCCACCTGCCAAAGGGCCAGGAGTCAGCTTACAGATCAGCTCGCTAAAGAACCGCGCGGGTCCCTCCGGGGAATGCATTACCAAGCAGACACACTTTCAGCACACCCTGGGGCCACGTGTTCCACGTTACTTTACGCTCCCATGCTGGGCCCTGGGGTGAGCTTGGTCCAGTACCAGTGCTGAGGAACGTGGCGAGGCTCATGGGGGGGGGGGGGTATGGGGCACAGCCTGAGGGTCACTTTTGGGTGCATGACTCTGACAGGGACCTCACATCTAGCGCACTAACGGACTTTATGGTGAATGACTGGGTGTCCAGACTGCAGAGTCAGTGGAATATGTGCCTGTTTTTTTCCAAGAGACCTCAGGTTGAACCGTTTATGGACTTGCTGCGTGAGGGTGATGAGAGCAAACAGTCTCCGGCTGGCAGGGCTGGCCCCTGAGTGACTCGCCGACACCAGCACAGGCAGCGGGGAGAGAGGCCAGAGGCCGATGTCTGCAGCGTTCACACCGCTCCGCCATCACGCCAAAGGCCAGGGCAGGGGGCTCAGCACACAGAGCAGGCGAGGGCAGAGCCAGGCACCCCCGAACTGCACTGTTGGCACCATTGGTGCCAGTAACCAAGGGGGCTGTTGGCTCACCTCCCAGCTCAGCTCTGCTCCCACGCACATGGACCTGGCTGCTTCCAGTCATGCAGGGGTGGGGAACCCTTTTCTGCCAAGGGCCATCCGGATGTTTATAGCATCATTCATGGGCCATACAAAATTATCAGCTTAAAAATTAGCTGCTATAGTTGGTCAAACATTTAACTAACTCACCCCTAATGCCTTGGCAGGCCCAGAACAAGTGGTTTTGTGGGGCCTTATACGGCCTGAAGGCCAGACGCTCCCCACCCCTGCTGAGTAACAAAAAGCCACTGGGATAGGACTGACCTGCTTGACCCTGGGAATGACCTGTGAGCGTCTCCCAGTCCTGTAACTGGAAGACAGGAGTAACAAGCGCAGATTCTAGCCAGCGCTCTGCTCTCCGGTGACGACTGGGACACTGCCATGGGCTCAACAAGTCTGCACCGGGACCGTTTTCTCGGTCCTAAGTTAACCCTCGACAGAAAAGTGTGTGCCCTCTGCACTGAGCCTGCCTCGCCGTGATTCCAACGGAGCCCTGAACCAGGGAGGATCCCTGGCGCTCTCTCCTCACACGGTTGTGTGCGCTCCTTCCCTCCCACCCCACACCTGATCTGAGGTCAGGAGGCATTCTGAGGGGCCCAGGAGCTTCTCTGAATGACGTAGGACAATGGGCTGCAGGGCTTGCAGGGACACCAAGTAAAGCACCCCAGAGGGGTCAGGAAGCTAAAAAATCTGATTAAAGAGAGAGTTCCCAACACAGAGCAGCCTCGACCAGGAACCAGCTCGCATCAACGTCAACACCTTCTGGCTCTCACCTCCCGCTTCTGACAGATGGACTGCAGACCCAGAAACAACAGCGGAGCCCCCAGACCCACTGACGTTGCTACACACAGTGGAGGCTTTGCTTGCAGGTTCTTAAGCATCACCCACGGTGCCACTTGCGGACTCACCGGAGACGTCACTGACACTTACCCTCCTGGTATATTTAATGGGTATATTTACTCTGTTTTGATAAGCAAACCTCCTATGAGAATTCTGTATCCTGAGAAGAGCCATCATTTGGGCAAAGGATCATGAATGCATTATGAACAATCCCAAACTATGACGCAACTGGAACGAGGCCATGAGTGTGTGGCATCCCACCATCCCCAAAGCTGCTGGGGAAACCCGCTCATCTCCGAAATCTAAGGCCAGTGGAAGATGTGCTGTTTTATTCAGAGTTAATGACAGCCCAGCATTCTGGCAGCGCAGGGAAGCAGCTCTTCGAGGAGTTCCCAGGTACGCCAGCCCCGCACCCAGCAGGGCTGTGTGGTGTGACGCTGTCAGGCTGAAATCACCCCCTGGGGTCCCCAGGACCTCGAGAAGGCCCAGAGCCAATAATACTGGTGAAGCTGCACACAGACAGACTCTGGCCCATGCTGGCCTCTTGGGGCCATGTGGCCACCTCAAGACACTTCAATGGGCTCATCCCAAACTGCCCTTTAACTCACCAGATAGCAAATCTATGTATCACTTTCTCTAAGGACACGTATTAACACATGCAGACAGGACCAGAGGCACGAGGTCACGGTGCTCACAGGAAGAAACAAGTTCAGCAAGTGCCCATCCTATAAAATACAGGCCCTGGTCTCAGGACAGCAGAAGGCCCTCTGCTGAGCTGGAAGGGCTGTCTCTGCACAGCATGGGGCCAGGCACCTCCTGCTGTCAAGCCCCAGAAACACCGATGACACCACTGGCCCTTGTTTGGCAAAAAGCTCTTTTTCTGAGTGAAGCACTATACACAATTCCTGGTTATACACACAGTATAACCACTTGGCACCAAAATGACTAATAGAAAATCACACTACACATGCATATACTTTATAATTTTTAAACAAGCAAGTAGAGATCTGTCTCAGACCTGGGTTTGCAAGGTCGTGGCTCTAAAATGCTGGTGTGCTGCCAGGTGCACTATGAGGACAAGAGTCTAAAACAGCTCTGGCGTCAGAAGGAAGTGGGCACGGAAATAATGGGACCGGGCTGCTGGGGCTGGAAGAGGCATCTGAGCTCCGCACCCGGGCTCTGGAGACACCAGATGTGCTGTTGAGTTCACAGCAGGCGAGTACACTGCAATCTCCTCAACATGATCCCAGCCTGTCTAAGAGCCCCCTCTGGTGGACTAACAGTACAACAAGCTGAGTCATGGCAGAGGTGAGCACTTCAGGACAATGCACAGGTGTGAGCGCAGGTGAGCATGGGGACCTCTGGACAATGCACAGGTGAGCACAGGGACCTCAGAGCAATGCACAGGTGAGCACGGGGACCTCAGAGCAATGCACAGGTGAGCACGGGGACCTCAGGACATGGCACAGGCGAGCAAGCTCATGTTCACAGTCACACTTCCCAGGATCATCCATTTACTGAAACGAATAGAGTGCCACCAGGTAACTATACAAAACCATGCCAGGTGACCTGGGTAGATGCCTAGAACTTAACTGTATTTGCCATGAATGTTTTGCAGTCAACATAAGGAATTCATGCAAAAGACATTGTGTTATTCAACTAACAGGTCACTGGCGGCTAAATCAGGATGGAATGCGCCCGCAGTGGTGAAGCTGAAGCAACAGGTTTCCTGAATCACCTCCAAGAACAGAATCTTATCTGAAAAAGGACCCTGGCAATAGGGGGGACACAATGGCTCTGATCCCGGCTTCCACCTGCTCCAACCTGTCCTCCCCTAATGACCAGTGCTGGGGAGCAGTGTCACTGCCTCTGGGTCAGGACGCGCCTCGCCGTCTGCGTGCAGAGCGGGTAGTTCGTGTTTGTGCGCCCCCCCCCCACCCGCCCCCAATCTCACAGGACTGTCGTGATGCCTCTCCCATCTGAGGCGCCCAGTGTGTGATGCAGGAGGTGGCCAGCAGACCTCAGGCTGCACCTTTATGGCCAGCACTTGCCGATATGACGCAACACCTACAACTTGGGGGGGGGGGGGGCGTTTCTCTGAAACGCCCCGAGTGCTGGGTGTTCAGGAAAGGAGTGCAAACCCCCAGGAGGCTGACTCGTGGTGACAAATAGCAGACACGCCCCTTGGATGGTGAGAGGGTCTTCTGACACCCTGGAGTCTCACGCGTGTCCCCTCCCAGGGAACAGACTCTGAAGGATGGGCCCCTCTGATGGGGCCACTGCTGCCATCGATCCAGGGTGACCAGAGAGCCAGGAGCAGCTCTGCCCTCACTGCCCCTGCACAAGAGCCACCTGTCCCTTCAGTGGGTGCCAGCTGGGGCACGGCCATCATGTTTGACGAAATTTTAAGGAAGAGCAGAGGCGGCTCCCTGGGGCCTTCCCTGTGGATGCAGCCTGGGGACAGCAGCCCGAACAGCACCGCCTGCCACTCCCAGCACGCGCACGCCCCCACTTTTCCCAGCCCTCGCGCCATGCCGCGGGGGAGGATGAGGCCACGCCCAGGCTCCCCAGGACCGAGGAGCCCCAGAAGAGGAGTGTCAGCTCCCACTCAGTGAGGAAGCGCGGACCACACCCCCACTTCCCAGGTCACCTGCCGCCCACAGCACTGGCGTGGTTTCTTGGTGGAGATGAAAGAGAACCCCCAGTCTCCTGACACACCCTCTATCCTCACTCCCGTGCTCTCTGGGAGAGTCCAGGATGTCTCTCGCCTTCAATTCCTCCTGTTCCCAACAGCAACGTTTAAAGTTTTAAGGCTAATTTTTATTTCTGTAAGAAAGATTAGGTTTCAGAGAGTCATATATAACACTTTTATTTGACATTAAAATTTCAATCCCTTTGATGTGAAACAAACAAGAGTTAAAAATGTTGTCACTGCCTGACAAACTGGGCAGTGTGTCTGCACGTCACAGCAGTGAGGTCACCCGGGACTGACCGGGGGGATGGACAGGTGGCCAGGAGGAGAGCAGCGAGGGTCCCAGGTGTCCTTCTAAGTGGACAACATGCCTGTGGAAGGGACATCTAGACCTGGGCTTAGAGAAGTAGAGTTGAGGAAATTTTTTTTTTAATCCTCACCTAAGGACTTTTTCCCACTGATTTTCAGAGAGAGTGGAAGAGAGAGGGAAAGACAGAGAGAAATATCGATGTGAGAGAAAGACATAGATTGGTTGCCTCCTGCAACCCTGACCAGGGCCCGGCCAGGGAGGAGCCTGCAACCAAAATACGTGCCCCTGACCGGAATCGAACCCGGTACCCTTTGGTCCACAGGCTGACGCTCTATCCACTGAGCCAAACCGGCTAGGGTGAGGAAATTCTTTTAAAGAAAACATCTTCATGAAACAGCTTGTGTATAGACTCAATGTTCTCAAAGGAATTGGGCCTGTACAAAAGGGGTTTAATGGTCACAAAAAAACTATCTCTGAGGATGGTAATCGGAGGCTCTAGTGAGGTTCTATACCAGTGGTTCTCAACCTTCTGGCCCTTTAAATACAGTTCCTCATGTTGTGACCCAACCATAAAATTATTTTCGTTGCTACTTCATAACTGTAAGGTTGCTACTGTTATGAATCGTAATGTAAATATCTGATATGCAGGATGGTCTTAGGTGACCCCTGTGAAAGGGTCGTTCGACCGCCAAAGGGGTCACGACCCACAGGTTGTTCTATACGGAATAGACCATTTACATTTTCCTACTGTTGTTGAATTTCCTACTGTTGTTGAAAATAAACTGAAACTCTGTATTCCTCCTCAGCACTCTGACCAGCACTCCCAATGAAACCGAGTGATCTGCCAGGCGGTGAGCACTGAGGCCAGTGATCTGTCTCAGCGTCTGCCCCACCCAGGGGTGTGCTGGGAGTCAATTGCTGCTCTGTTTACTGGAGATGTGTGACGTGGTTCTCACATCGGCTCTTCAGACAAGCCAGCCCAAGGAAGATGCTGTGCTAACAATGTACAAACGGAGACCCCGATGGGCATGACCCTTCCCCCAAGGGGCCTGGCCCATGACAGGGTGTGGGGCATAAGGGCCAGGGGAGGACCCCAGGCCATGTGGGACCAAGGACAGGCTGACGTGAGAGCTGTGGTTTTTAGAGATGAACCAGGAGACAGACAATACTGATTTACATGGCTGTTAGGCAGCATCCCTGGCCTTCACCTGCTTGATGCCAGGAGCACCCCTTATCAATGACAAGCCCAGACGCTGTCAGGTTCCCTGGGTGAGGGAGGGTTTGGGAGGGCCCACTGATGGAATCACAAACCGATGGAATCACAAACCCGAGTTAGTGTACTTATTGCTGAATGTTGCCGACACACTGATACATCGCTCAATACTGTTGCCCATTTCGTTTCCTAGAAACAAAGTGCTAGTCCCAACCCACAGGTAGGACGCTGGGCCCCAGTGGAGCCGGCTGAGGGCACGGGCCTTGGCACGCCGAGGGTCTCACCTCTTTGTCCATACTCTCTAAATCCTCCTTACACAGAGTGTACAGCGGCATGGTCTCTGACATGCTGGGCTGTCGCTTTCTTCTAGAAGGACCAGGCTGTTCTCCATCGGGATTATCTGGCAGCTCTTCACCAAACATCTGCTGCTGATGAGGCTGAACAGCTCTGAAATGAACATTTTAGGTCCCACATGAGGGAAGGCACTTTTCCAGCACTGAATCAGATTCCTGACTCGGGACAGGTAAGTATACACACACACACACACACACACACACACGCACAAGCACAAACACACAGAGACCATCCTAGTTATGGAACATGCTGCCTCATCTGCTCGAGGCTGCTGGTTTCCTCCTGTGAAGGCCAACACCCACGGCCACCCCAGAGCATCCCTGGGCTTCACTGGAGCATCCCTGGGCTTCACTGGTCTTAGAACAAAGGGCAAATAGGAAGAGTGACGATGAAAAACTTCCTAGAGACCAGCAGGAGCTGTTATTTATCCTCAAAATAAGGTTGAGCAAGCTATAAGATTTAAAAAAAAACTAACAACAGGAAATGTATGGTGAAGAAACAGATGCCACCTGTCCACAGAGAACAGGAAAAGGTACCGTGAATTCTGTATCCAAAGTTGGGTTAAACTATTAATATTAATACAATAAACCAACCAGCAAAGACCAAGAGGCTCCGCCCAAGAGCTGACACCACGCTCATGTCAGAGATGTCACACTACGTCACAATTAGTTCTGTCTAAAACGGTTTCTGAAGCTTCCCCCTACACACACTCGTCTCAACGGTCAGATCTCACGGACACTCGCACACCTGTCACGGCCGTGGGAATTTCAGGGGCTCGTGAAAGCTGCTGTTACTCTCCTCTGGGCACTGTTTCTGGAGTCAGCTGCTCTGTGGGGCCTGGAACCGGACACCACAGGTCCAATCACTGGGACACTGACATTGAGGTAAAACCTCATTCTTTTGAAGAAAAATAGGGTATTAAGTCTAAACCACAAAATCAAAAAGCAGCAATTGTATTAGGCTAATCAAATATTATCTAAGGAAGGGAAGATTTTTTTAAACCTGGAAATATAAAGGACAACCTAAAGAATGCTGATCGTGGCTTTTTCAAGTCAGACTAAGCTGACCCTTGAATAACACGGGTGTGACCTGTTCGGGTTCAGCTATGCTCAGACTTCCTTCAATGAACACCTGCTGTATCTGATCTGAGTTGGGAATCGTGGATGCAGAGGGGCCGACTGTGTGCACTGATCTGGGCTATTCTATAGACGGGACTGAGCACCTCTGGACTTTGGTATCAGCCCTGGAACCGATCCCCTGTAGGTACCCAGGGACAATTATGTTCTGGGGAGTCAAAAGTTACATGTGAATTTTCAACTGTGCAGGTCGGCGCCCAATCCCCACCATGGTTCAAGAGTCAGCTGCCCACCCACCAACTCGAGTGCTTGATATTTATTCTCTGATGTAGACACCAGGCCACACTTCAGTTCATACCCACTTACTGTCAGTTCCAAACACCCAGAGCTCCAACATGAATATGGAAAAGCAGCAAACGAATCTTTTTACTAAAAATAAAGATATAGCCTCCCTTCAGAAAAATGGTTCCAGAGTTTTAACAAAAACTCAAAAGGTTGAGAACAAGCACAGGGAAGAAAGGTTGAGAACAAGCCCCGCTGGTTCTGACTGGTCCCTGAATTCCAGTGTGTGACCAGGCATGACCTACACACCCCCAAGCCCCTCATCTGCCTCAACCCTCGGACTCTGTGGACCACACACTAGACCAGCCGTGGGCAACGGCCTGCGGGCCGGATCCGGCCCGTTTGAAATGAATAAAACTAAAAAAAAAAAAAAAAGACCGTACCCTTTTATGTAATGATGTTTACTTTGAATTTATATTAGTTCACACAAACACTCCATCCATGCTTTTGTTCCGGCCCTCTGGTCCAGTTTAAGAACCCATTGTGGCCCTTGAGTCAAAAAGTTTGCCCACCCCTGCACTAGACCTAAAACCTCTTAAGGTGAAAGGTAAGGGGAAACCTCAGGACCTGGGATGAGGCAGAGCTGATAAGTTGACACCAGAAGCATAACTCATGAAAGGAAAACCGACAAATAACCTCATCAAAGTAGGCACTTGTGTTCTGCCAACAACTGTAAGACGGCGGGAACAGGGCCAGAGTGTGACAGTCTCTGCAGCCACAGAAGTGACGAAGGGCTTGTAACCAACTCTGAAACTTGGCGGCAATCCAATCAGAAACCAGCAAGAGAGCGAGCTGCTCTTGCCGAGGGCGCACGGAGGCTCCACACACCGACCTCAAGGAAATGCCAGTAAAACGAGGAACACGCCTCATGCTGGGCGACGCTGAGAAGGGAGAAGCAATGTCACTGCTGAGCACCCAACCCGGCAGCTACAGCCCAGTCACTCCGGAGAAACACGGGGCACACCCTGACGTCCACATGGGTGATGGTCACCAGGAAGCAGGGCCCAGCAGGAGGGCACAGTGACGGCACAGAAGACTCGGAATCCCAGGGATGGCGACTGGATCTGTGGCAGCTGGGGTGGGTGGGGACATGCCTATGGCTACATGCACCCCCGGGAGGGCCTGGGGAAAGGGGCACCCGTGTATGCACTATGTCCCTGTCCCCATCTTGGCTGTGAGGTTGGGCTGCAGTTTGCAAGATGCTACCGTTGGTGTCAGCTGGATCTTTCTGTATTATTTCCTACAACTGTGTGGGATTCTGTAACTGTCTTAAAAGAAAACCTTGTCCTAGCTGGTTTGGCTCAGTGGAGAGAGCGCCGGCCTGTGGACTGAAGAGTCCGGGTTCGATTCCGGTCAAGGGCATATGTTCGATTCCGGTCAAGGGCACATGCCTGGGTTGTGGGCTTGATCCCCAGTGGGGGGCGTGCAGGAGGCAGCCTATCAATGGTTCTCTCTCATCAGTGATGTTTCTATCTCTCCTTCTCTCTTCCTCTCTGAAATCAATAAACATATTTAAAAAAAGAGAGAAAACCTTTAATTTAAAAAAATCAAACGTTCACAAGGAACCACACACAGTAATGATGGATAAATAAAAAGGAATTCAGAATTTCAGAGGATTTGCAATGCCGAGAACTTGGGGTTCCTCCTGGTCCTGGTGTCTCCACACCCCCAGACTAGGACCTCTCACCATCTCTAAGCTTCGCCCATCACATGGCAACTCTTATTGGCCCTGGCCTCAGCACAAGGCGAGCTGTGCACTGTGTACTGTGCTGGCTGCGATGGAGGCTGACTGCGTGGACCGCTCTCACTCCCATTCCCACACAGACCTCGTGGGTGAGAGGGAAGGTTCTCACACACGCTGCCAGCAGCCAGGAGAGTGCTACCTACACCAGTGATGGCGAACCTATGACACGTGTGTCAGAGGTGACACATGAACTCATTTTTTTGGTTGATTTTTCTTTGTTAAATGGCATTTAAATATGTAAAATAAATATCAAAAATATAAGTCTTTGTTTTACTATGGTTGCAAATATCAAAAAATTTCTATATGTGACACGGCACCAGAGTTAAGTTAGGGTTTTTCAAAATGCTGACACGCCGAGCTCAAAAGGTTCGCCATCACTGACCTACACTCACCCAAACCTGACTCCACCTTCCTGGATGGAGCAGCCTCTGAGCCCAGAACCAACACATCTCAGGGAGAATTACAGACACTCAGTTCTCAGGGCCTCCAGGGAGATGAGGTCCAGGTGCCTTAGGGTTCTGGGCACAGAACAGGCGTGTCACCATTCTTGGGCTCCCTCTCTCACAGCCCTCAACACACAGGAACTACAGTGGTACCTGAGCACTAGGACCAGTAGGAGCCAAGAGCTGGCGAGTGCCCAGAGAGGGGGGTGGCACGGGCTCGAGGTCCACAGCCCTCAGTTTCCGGACGTGGCAGTCTGCACACCTTGCATCTGAGGTGCTAACCAGACAGGGATGAGCTCTAGGTGCCAGGCAGTCACGCATGGACAGGCCCAGATACTCACCCGCCAGGACTCCATTCTCTCTCCTTATCTAGACCACCCCCCAAGGTGCCATGGCATCCCCACTGGGTCCAGGGGATGCCCACATGGGACCACCACTCAGCCACTCTTGGGCTCAGCCACCATGGCCACTGGGCTCTAGCTGTCCCACCACAACAGCAGCCAAGTCCACACAGAGGGTCACCCCTCCCTGTTCTTGTGAAAGTGGGAAGAAATCAGCGCATCAGTGACTTCCTGAAGGAACGCTGTCCTTGACCTGGCCCCGCCCCGTCTGCTGCTCAGGAAGCCTCTGCTGGTACAGCCCTTTCTCAACCACCTCCCTGCCCGTGACCGAGGCTGGGAGGGGCAGAAACACATAGCTGAGGTGTACCCAGCACTCCGCCTGGGTCTCCTCTTGAATGGAGAGCCTCAGAAAGGAGGGCAGCCTCGCCACTTAAGAACGATTCAGCAATAAAAACACACACACCACACTCTATGTGGTAGTGGATAAACACAGGCCCATCCCGAACACCAGAAAGTCCATGCACATCAGAACCTAAGCAAGAAACCACCCCCCTCTGAGCCTCTCGGGGACAGTAAATTACAGAGCTGGAACCACACTTAGTTTTTGCAGGATAACCTGAATGAGAGTTACTGTGAAATACCGAAGAAGCCTTTCTGCCTCGGGTACACGTCCTCCAGAAGGCGGAGGTGAAGTCCATCACCGCTTTAGCGGAACCTCTAATTGAGCAGCAACCGTCTACCTGCTGCTCTGGTGACAGAGGATGCCAAACATTTGCTCACCTGGGTGCTAAGGAAAGGCTATCCTTTAAAAAATATATACCTGAAGTAATATTGGTCACCACAGAATTTCTAAAGAGAGGGTGGAATACAGACAAAATCCATGGTGAGAAATATTTCAAGGAAGGTCTGAGAGTGAACACTACACATAGACGTTTGAGCCCTAAGTGCTGACGACAAAGGAGAACACCCAGCCCTCCATGTGTCCACAAAGGGTGAGGGATGCAGTCCAGCCGGGAAGAACCAGTCCTCCTTCATTTCAACGGCAGCAACTACAGGAAGCTTTTCTAACTCAATGAACACAAAAAAGGCAAAAATTCACAAAAAACCAGGAGGAAAAAAAGGGTAAGTTAAGGCTGCAAAGGGCAGCTCGCTTAAGTGAGTCGAGATGAGAGAAGGCAACAGCCTGGTGACATGGCAGATGTGACCTGACACCTGCACCTGCTGGTGGGACCGCAAGTCCCAGCAAACTTGGCCAATCACTGACACCATTTATTAAAGGGACGCACGACCTTTCCTGGATATTATCATGACTGGAGGTCACAGGAACACAAGCCGCAGCATAGAGGTCAAATGTAACTCCATAACTGGTGGAATTTAATAGTGATGATGCTTTTAGTTAAACCAATCATCAAACAAAAGCCCAACCCAGAGCGTCTGTCCACTCACACCTGGGGCCCCTCACCTGGCCTTTAGGAGTGGCTCTATGTCCACTCTGAGTGGCTCAGTCGGGCTCTGAAGTGTCACCATGTCCAGGGGAAGGCCAGAGGGAGGCATCAATGGCCACTCCCAGCATGGACAGCTGCTGGGGGAAGGGGGAGGGGCGCGGAGCTTTCCAGAAGGAGAGGGGACATGATGCAGGGCCACACGTCTACCACAATGCCACACCATTGGCAGCTCTTTAAAACACCAACCTCAGACCCCTCATTTAAATCTCAGACACTGTCCCAAGATTGTTTACACAGTGGGGTGTATGGTCCTCAAACTCAGGATCCTGTCAGCACAGAGGAAATGGAGGGCGCACCTGAGACTCAGAGGGACGGTTCGCTCCGCAAGTACCCCCCCGCCTAGGGAAGCGCCGGTGCGGGTCCACTTGGGCGTCTCTCCTACATGTCCTGCTCACACCAGCGCCATCTCCAGCCCATCTGGGCTGTGTGGAAGTGGGCAGGCGGCCAGGGAGGCTGTGCTGCTGAGCTGGGGCGGCATAGCCCAGCATAGGCCCAAAGCTGCCCTTTTCCCTCACGGCAACTGTCTGTCCTCTGGAAGGGACAGACCGGGTGGGCCTGAGGCAGTCAGGGTCAGGCCCAGCACCCCCGGCCCATCATCTGCTGGGATATGGCCAACGGCCCATGTGAGGTCAGCAAATGAAATGGCTCATGGAGGGCGGCACCAAGCCAGCGTGAGCGAGCCAGTGCACGTCAGCTGACACAAGACAAAAAGTATGCAGAGAGGTCCGAAGTGGAAGTGGGGGAGGCTTTCCCACACCAGCAGTCAGAGCCCTCAGCAGGCAGCCAAGTCCAACTCAGAACCGGACGCACCCAGCCCACCCAAGGGAAGCCCTGCCAGCAGGTGTGCTCTGCAGTGCGGCAGACATACCTGAAGGAGGAGTGTCCCGTGTGGATCTGCAGGGAGCCGGGGGGCCCGGGGCTGGTAGTGCCCTTCCGGATGAGCTTGCCCGTGCTGGCGTCATAGATCCGGACGTCAGGGCCGGGCTGGGCCTTGGGGTGCACGGGTGTCGGATGGAACAAGGCAGCTGGCAGCGCACCCTGCCTGTCGGGAAAGGCTGCGGGACTGTCCTCCCTGCGGGTGAGAAAAGGCCATGAGATGGAGCCAGGCCTCACCGGGGGATGCAAGACGCCCTACACAGGCCCGCGAACTGGTCTCCCTCCATCTGATGCTCAGAGCCTTGCGGATGAAGACGTGGACACCACTCATCTTAACTTCTAGGGCAGAGCCCTGGGCAGGACATCACACAGCACCGGGCAGAGGTGTGCCCACCATGGACCTCAGTGCAGGCTGCATTTGTTGTTTCCCTCATGTCCGTCCCAGGATTTTCCCTCTAAATACAACATTCAAACTCTTTAAGAATAGGGAGCATTTTTCAAACCTTTATGGAAAGAAACACAACAAAAACCAGGCTCTCTTACATATTCCTCGCCACGGCTGAGACTCTCCCAATGACTCTACAGCAGTTGTGTGGCTTATATAACTTCTAGCAGTCGTGAAAGAAACACGCAAACTAGATTCCCCACTGACAGCCCTACTGCACAGTCACAGGAAAAAACCTGTACTTCTTCCCTAGGCAGTAATGGTCACCTTTTCCAGATAACCTGTTCGTGATGGAGCCTGGAGGAGCCACAGTGGGGCAGGCAGGGCACAGGTGAGAGGGCTGAGAAGCCACGCACTGAACACTGGGGATGCCGTGTGGGGCTGCGAGCAGCGAGGCTGGCGGCCAGGAGTGGGCTCTCGAGGAGATGGGGCCGAGACTGCTGGCAGCTCACCTCTGCACTTTGCCGTAGTCCTCGCTCAGCGGGAAGAGCTGCTCCTCCACCTTGTCCCACCGCTCTAGGCAGCTCCACAGCCAGTCGGGGTTCACCACGTGCAACTGTCCGCATGCCTGGGCCTGCCGCACCTTCTCTGTGCCTACAAGAGGGGAGCAATGGCCCAGATATTCAGGGACCCAGTACAGAGCCTAAGGCATGCACCCAGGACAAGCCCACATGCATACCTAGGCCCAAGATGGGCAGACAGAACCAGTCCAAATAGAATTTAGCCATTATGTAATTACCAGAAAGATGCTTCTGAAAATTCCACATGAAACAGGAGCCCTGCTAGTTTCAAAAAATGACTGCAGAGGCCAATGTAGATGCATTCTACTCCATGAACTCCCTCGGTTGTCCTTGCCCCAACCCCAGGGCAGGACCCAGGGAGGCCTAGCGGCTGGCTGGCCACTTACCTGCCTTGGCAGCAATCAGGTGGGTGGCCCTGTCAGGGGCGTCAGGGTCTAACACCAGCTGGGTGAGGATCTTGGCTCCGAGGGCCGTGGCATGGTAATGCTCCCGCGTCTTTTCCACCGGGAAGTTGGTGGGGTACAGCCCACTGAAGATTATGGCCACGTCCGCCAGTACTCGGCTCTTGAGCTCAGGGACGATCTTCCGTATGTCGGGTGCCTCCTGGGTCTCCCCGCGCAAGTAGCGGTCATACCTGGCGTAGTAGTCGGAGTGCACGCGGGCGAGGATCTCCTCCAGGTGGACCAGGTGGTCATCGCCATCATCGTCCTCCTCCTCCTCGTTCTCCTCCTCCTCCACGCTCTGGTCCAGGGACTCGCCCACTGTGATGCCTGACTGTTCACTGTTCTGGGACTCCGTCTCGGCCTCCTTCTTGTCAGCAGAGCCACCCGCCAGCCCACAGAAGCCGTCTCGCTCGCCCTCCTCCTGCAGGTCAGGTTGGACTCCGGGCACAGGCTCTCCGCAGTGATTCGGCCGTGTGGGCCTCTCCCCGCCCGGGCCAGGGGCCCCACCCTGCTGCATGGCTCTCCTGGTGTCCTGCGCAGCCTTAGGCTTCTTCTGGCTCTTCTTCTCCCCACTTTCGCCATCAGAGGTGGTGGAGGACTGACCCTCCGACTCACTGCTGCTCTCACTGTCACTGGATAAGTCAAAGTCCAGGTCACTGCCTGCTGTGCCCTGAGTGGGCTGCTTCTCCACTGAGGTCCGACCCTGCTGCTGAACACACACTGGGGGCCCCCTACCGTCCACCAAAGGGGCTCGGGCAGCAGGTGAGGCGCAGTCCCCGTTGAGTTCCCTCATGGGCTTCCCAAGGCCGTTACTCTGCTCGACTGCAGAAACCGGCCTTCCCTCCTCAGGGTCCTTAATGGACGGAGCTTGATCTGCGATGTCAGCACCTTTGGGAGGATAATTCACTGCAGGTGCACACAAAACGAGAGGTTACCATGATTTCCAAGAAATGGGAAAACGCAGGACGCATCCGCTATACCCTGCTTCAGACAGGCCATCGAGCTGCCCACTGCAGGGACCCTGCTGGGTCCCACTTTCTCCCAGCCCAGACCTCTCAGTCCTATTTTAGTGGCTGCAGCAATAATTGCATACCTCAAAACATTTTATTTAATCCTACTCAACTGGAAAAATGTTCAAATTGTACGATTAAGAAACAGAAACAAAATATCATGCCTTTTAGAATAACATAAACACAACGGCCTCTGTAATACAGAAATACAAACAAGCAGCAACAAAGTGAGTCCTGAATTCAGAGCAGTCACAAGGCAGGTGAGAGGCGGAGGAGACAGTGAAGCAAATGCTAATACTTCTCTGAGGACTAGAAGGGAGTTGCCCACCTTTCTTTCTCGCCGGAGGCTCCCGGGACCCTGGGGGAGCATTGATGTCCCCTGTGCCCTGGAAGTAGACGTATTTCTTTACGGTGATCAGATTGGGGGCGAACTTCCAGACATCTTCTCGGTCATCAATAATGCAAACCATTGAGTCTCCACAAGGAAAGAGATTTCTGGAAGTAAAAATGTATCAGAACTACTAGCATGATTTACAAAAAGAATCATCAAAAAGAGAGTGACAACTATTCTCACACGGAACCACTAGACAGCAGACTAATGCAAAACAGATGCAAGGTACACGAAGGGCTTTTGTTTAGCTTGTGTTTAAACTGTTTCCAGAGAAGGTAACATTAAAACAGTCCCAGTTCCCTACACTGTCTCTGCTACTTCTCAAGGCAGGAGTCAGCACTCTCCTTAGAAGACCAGAGAGGAAGGAGAAAGTTCCAGTCCTAACAAAGCCTCAGGACAAACCTAAGTCAGTGGCCATGTCCCAGTACAACTTCATTTACAAACACAGGTTATCTGCCTACCGGCCAGAGTCTGCTCCCACCTGTTCCCAGGTAAGGGCTTTCAGAGAGAGAGGCAGGAAGGCTCAGTCTTGTTCAAACTCAGCTGTTTGAAAAAGCTGTTCCCTGAAGTTCCCAAAAGGTGACTTGTATTCCCCAAAGCTACTAGTGTGTGTGGGGTGAGCAGAAATATTAACAAGGGTCTAAAGGCCATCCCTGGGTGCAGGCATGCTCTGCTACCTCACGTGGTCTCCTTAAACTTCATTTTTGTCCACACCCCTGAGATTCAGAGAGCTGGCTCATAGCACTCAATACTCAAATGATGACTGCTTCTTGCCTATCTTCAAGATCAGGGGATAAACCCAGGAAAGATGCCTACCACTGTTCAGGTTCTCTACTGCTAATCCTATCTAATGCTAATCCTATCTAATAAAAGAGCCGTACGGCCGCTACCCTTCCCATTGGCTAATCAGGGCGATATGCAAATTAACTGCCAGCCAAGACGGCAGCCGGCAGCCAGGCAGCTTGAAGGGAACAGGGAGGTTTGCTTGCTCCAGTGACGGCGGACTCCAACGTTCCTCGCCTGACTTGCCGGCCTCTCAGCTGCAACTCTAAGCAACTATGCTGCAAATATAGAAGCTAAACAAAACCCCAGAAACCTGCTTTAGTCAGCCGGGCTTCAGCCAGCTGGACCGCAACATTGTATCAAATACAGAAGGTAAACAAAGGCCCGAAACCTGCTTTCAGCAGTGGAGGCCTCAGAGCTAAAGCTGGCCTAGAATTAAAAAAAAAAAAAAAAAAAAAAAAAAAGGAGCAGTTGGGAGCTTCAGTCACCCGCCAGCCTGAAAACGGCCCTCAGCCCCTCACCCAGACTGGCCAGGCACCCCAGTGGGGACCCCCACCCTGATCCAGGACACCCTTCAGGGCAAACCAGCCAGCCCCCACCCGTGCACCAGGCCTCTATTCTATATAGTAAAAGGGTAATATGCCTCCCAGCACCGGGATCAGTGGAGCCGCAAGGCCTCCCGGCACCGGGATCAGCGTGACAGGGGGCAGCGCCCAAACCCCCTGATCGCCCTGCGGCTCTGTGTGTGACAGGGGGTGGGGCCACAACCTCCCTATCCACTCTGCTCTGTTTGTGACAGGGGAAGGTGCCCCAACCCCCTGATCAGCCCTGCTCTGTGCCTGATAGGGGAGGAGCTCCCCAACCCCCGGATCGCCCTGTGGCTCTGTGTGTGACAGGGTGTGGCGCCCCAACCCCTGATCGACCTGCTCTGTGGGTGATAGAAGGCGGCGCCTACCCCCCCCCCCCCCCATGAGCCCTGCTGTGTGATGGGGTAGAGCCATAACCTCCCCATCGGCCCTGCTCTGTGTGTGACAGGGGGCGGTGCCCCAACTCCCCTATCGGCCCTACTCTGTGAGTGACAGGGGGGAGCTCCTCAACCCCCTGATGGGCCCTGCTCTGTGTGTGACAGGGTACGGAGCCCCAACCTCCCTGATGGGCCCTGCTCTGTGCATGACAGGGGGCAGCGCCCCAACCCCCTGATCCGCCCTGCTCTGTGACAGGGGGCGGTGCCCCAACTCCCCTATCGGCCCTACTCTGTGCGTGACAGGGGGTGGCGCCGCAACTTCCCTATCGACCCTGGCTTGAGTGTGACAGGGGGCGGTGCCACAGCCCCCCAATCGGCTGTACCCTGAGCGTGACTAGGGCTGGCATCGCAACCTCCCGATCTGCCCTGTTCTGTGCATGACAGGGGGCAGTGCCTCAACTCCCCAATCGGCCCTGCTCTGAGCCCAACCAGGGGCTGCACCTAGGGATTGGGCCTGCCCTCTGCCACCTGGCAGCAGGCCTAAGCCAGCAGGTCATTATCTCCTGAGGGGTCCCAGACTGCGAGAGGGCACAGGATGGGCTGAGGGACCCCCTCTCCCCACCGAGTGCACACATTTTTGTGCACCAGGCCTCTAGTCCTATCTAATAAAAGAGTAATATGCAAATTGACCATCACTCCAACACACAAGATGGCCGCCCCCATGTGGACACAAGATGGCCGGCAGGGGAGGGCAGCTGGGAGGGATCAGGCCTGAAAGGGAGGGCAGTTGGGGGTGATCAAGCCTGCAGGGGAAGGCAGTTAGGGGCAATTGGGCCGGCAGGGGAGCAGTTGGGCATTGATCAGGCTGGCAGGGGAGTGGTTAGGGGCAGACAGGCTGGCAGTTAGGCAGGCAGGCAGGCAGAAGAGGGGTTGGGAGCCAGCAGTCCTGGATTGTGAGAGGGATGTCTGACTGCCCATTTAGGCCCGATCCCTCTGGGGTCAGACATCCCTCGAGGAGTCCCAGATTGGCGAGGGTGCAGGCTGGGCTGAGGGACACCACCTCCGTGCATGAATTTCATGCACTGGGCCTCTAGTAAATAATAAAGGCTACACTACCCAGGAAAAAATGTTCAAGTGTCCAAAATTAATATTATTTTCAGAGTCCATTTTCCAGAAGAACATAAGGTAGCTAAAACACCTCAGTGGCAGATGCCTTCCAGCACATTTAATTCCAGATGGGGGACTGCAGTGTCCACTGTGGAGCAGGCTCCCTAACAGTCACTGACACGCTCGCTCATTTTCCTTGTCCACATTACCCTGCTCACTCTGACGCTAAGGAGCAAACACACAGGGTCTGTTTCCGAAACAAGTGCTTTCAGACTTTTCCTAGTGCACATTGACTTGAATGGGTCTTAGTTGTGTGGACAATCCAAATCTAAACACGAAATGTTAGCTCTAACTGGTTTGGCTCAGTGGATAGAGCGTCGGCCTGCGGACTCAGGGGTCCCAGGTTCGATTCCGGTCAAGGGCATGTACCTTGGTTGCGGGCACATCCCCAGTAGTGGATGTGCAGGAGGCAGCTGATCGATGTTTCTAACTCTCTATCCCTCTCCCTTCTATCCCTCTCCCTTCTTCTCTGTAAAAAATCAATAAAATATATTAAAAAAAAACTCAAACAAAAAAACCCCACGAAATGTTAGATGCAGGTGGCTGACACCAGCCAGGAGGCCACTGAGGCCACAGCTGGTACTGCCTTACTATCCAATCTCGTTAGTTCTACCTGACACTGAGTAGAAAGCGGGACAATGCTCATATAGAGAAGACATTTCTGAGAATATCAAAGAGCCCTGTGATTGGGTGGGATGGCCCAGTCACAGAGGCATAGACAGGACAAGATAGGAAGGGGGGTGGTGATGGGAGGGATGGGAATAGCAGAGGGGCAGATGGAAATGTGACCTAGGCTCTCCTAACACTCCCAGCGTTAACAGCAAGCCAACTCTCGAGGAACGTGAACCTGAGATGCCAACCGACGTGAAACACCTTCTTTAAACTTGTGACTTGACGGACAGCCCACCTTGTACTCGGGGAAGCTTTGGGTGCTTTCCACTGACACTGTCACCTGAATTTCCTGTGCCCCCCAGCCCTGCTCTCAGCTCCCTCTCTCCACACCCCCATCCTCCCAGGCCCCTGCCACTGCCTGGACATTCAAGGAGAGGCAGGAAGTAGGGGTCTGGTTAGAAGACAGTAGCAGAGACAGTGGCAGAAATTTAAGAATAAACACAATTACTGCTCGATGCTCCCAATGCATCTTCACAATGGGAACCAACAGCAAGCCTTGTGATGAACAGAGCAGGTACGTACCTGAGGTTCCCTGTTTTAGAAAACGGGTCAATACACTCGTCCCTCGATAATATTCGGTGAGAAAAAAGCTTCTTCTCAGGGTCTAAAAAGCCTTTGAAAAGAAAGCAGGATAAAGGTCATGTGTGTCTAAGAAGCACGGACGCTTCACTGTGCATACAGTGAAGATCTTACTGTTTCTTTAGAATCAGAGACACAGAGCATCACAGAGAATTCTATGAAGTAGTTACATTAACCGTCACATGTCCCAATCACATATCCCAATAGCCACAGCAGCCACATGCTAAAGGCAAATATGTTGAATTTTAGTTACAAGATGAATTACTTTAATACGTTGCCTACATGTCCATAATTAAAATTTCCTACAAGGCCATTAAATGTAAACAGGGGATGAGAAATTCATTTCTCCAGCAACAATAAAAGACCAAGATCAACCAGTAAAGAGAATTTCAAGGTGCTGAATCTAACCATCGCACATCTAATACCGAGCTGTGACCATGTCATACTGTAGGTACTAGGTCTACCCGCAGTCAGTGGGGCCGGATCCCAGCCATCCCCAGGGAGGTAGAGCCCACGCCCTACACTGCCCCCAGCTGTGGCCACCATGGGCAATGCTGCATGACCCAAGGGCTTCTGCCTCCATGCACTGAGCTCAGCCAGCACAGCCCGACGTCTGCGTTCTCCTAGTAAGATCGCCTGTCTGCACCTTAAGTGTTAAGTGCAGACAGACATAAGCAATGTGGCCCCACAAGTGTTTCCAAACCAATCAGTAAAACATTTTAAGTTCACTTATGTATAAGACTAGAGGCCCAATGCACGAAATTCATGCAAGAGTAGGCTTTTTTTCCCCTGGCTGCCAGCACCGGCTTCCCTCTGGCACCCGGGACCTGGGCTTCCCTCACAGCCCCGGCTTTGTCCGGAAGGACGTCGGGTCTAATTAGCATATTAAGCTTTTATTATAATAGATGTTTCTTTTTCCAGGTACCTGTGGTCCTGACCAACTTCTAAACTGGCCCGTGACAGCAGCCAGTCCATCTAGACTGGCTCTGGGGTCGCAGGCAGGTGGGGAGGGGCCGTCCAAGAGAGCAGTGGCTGAATTTTAGAGACTTAACGCTGCCTGGCCACCCCAACTGACAGCTCCTAAGGAGGCTGACAGGGAGCTTCCTTCACCTTCAAGAAAGCATGGCGGGCCTGGCCGCGGTGGCTCTGTGATTGAGTGTCAACCTGTGAGCCGGGAAGTCACAGTTTGGTTCTTGGTTGGGGCACATGCCCAGGTTGTAGGCTCGATCCCCAGTGTGGGGCATGTAGGAGGCAGCCAATTAATGATTCTCTCTCATCATTGATGTTTTTCTCTCTCCTTCTCCCTTTCCCTCTCTGAAATCAGTAAAAAAATTTATATATATATAAAAAAGAAAAAAAGAAAGAAAGCATGATGGACAGTAAGAAATAACCCAGTTTCAGTGTTCAGGCGCACCACACGCAGCTCAGCCTGAGCCGCACGCTCACCTGCAATCGTGTGTGCATACAGCCGGCTGCCGAAGGTGAAGACGTGCAGCTCGTACAGCCTGGCGACCTTCTCCAGGAACTCCCTGCAGTGCGGACGCAGGCGGGTGTGCAGCATCGGCTCGCCCCGGCCCAGCTGGAAGTGCAGGATGCCCTGCGGAGAGCGAATGCCCAGTCAGCAGAGGACGACTGAGGACCCGAGGGCACGGGCTCCACCGTCAGGACACGGGTCCAGGTACCATGCCAACTTACCTGGCACTCATGATTTCTTTAAGCATGCTCCATGGGAGTGAGCTCAGCCCCTCTGCTGTGGCCATTCACACAGCAACTACCGATGACAACACGTAACTGCCTACAAAACCACCGCCAGTACCTATAGTAACTACCTATGGCAGTGATGGCGAACCTTTTGAGCTCGGCGTGTCAGCATTTTGAAAAACCCTAACTTAACTCTGGTGCCGTGTCACATATAGAAATTTTTTGATATTTGCAACCATAGTAAAACAAAGACTTATATGTTTGATATTTATTTTACATATTTAAATGCCATTTAACAAAGAAAAATCAACCAAAAAAATGAGTTCGTGTGTCACCTCTGACACGCGTGTCATAGGTTCGCCATCGCTGACCTATGGCAACAGGGCCACTATCTGTCTTAAGTACAGAGACTACCTGTGACCAACACCCACAGGAACCAGCTATGACAACTAAGACAACTACCCAGTCACTGCGGTGTCACTGAAGGGCTGCAAGGACACCAGCAGACCCTCACACATCCTGACTACTGTGCCCACTCTTGTTGATGATGGATAAAGCAAAGTGCCCAGAAGTAATGTCACCCATGTCTTTGTTCCTTCAAATACTGACATTGGTCAAATAGCAGAACCACAGTCGGCTTATAACAGGTTCCCATTAATCTGCTGACAGTGTCTTCCCCAGTTATCGATGAAAGCAAGCCACAGGTTCCCACATAAGCTAGTCTACCAGACACAGCTTTATTAACTTATAGACACATCACAGAAGCTGAAACAGCATTCTAAATCACCTCAGCAGACAGGTGAAATTAGTAATACCAACCTGCTTATACATGATTAATAGGCAAATAGGCTCCCTCTCCTCGGGAAGTAAACTCTGATCTTTTTAATCCTATTTATCATTAATTTTTCTCAGTAAAAATGCTCTAAACAACAACTATAAAGGAAAAGTAACCAATCTTAGGCTTAGTTAACTTTTCCCAGTTCTAACTCAGTCAAAGCCCTCGTGATCAGACTAATATTAGAAGACTAGGAATGAAACCTTATAAACAACTTCCACCCCACTCAATAGTTAAATAGTCCATGAATTGCAATCAACATCCTTAAAGGCACACGTTAAGAAGTAAATGTCTTTCTGAAGTCGCCAGCAGCAGCATGTGGGTGGGCTCTGGGTGGCTGGCAAAGCCCTGTCATCACGCTGTTACCGAGCCAGCAGAGGGATGGGCCCGTGGGCAGGGTGTGGCAGCACTGAAGCCCTAGCAATAGCTGAGGACTGGCCGTGCAGATGCTGACATTTGCCTTCTGGACCATATTAGCTGAGAAACTGGCAGGTTACAACTGGTTCAACTGTCTTATAAATGCCTGACTTCAAAGGCATGATAAACCCATAAGCCAGCCTGGCCTGGCCTGGCCCCTCTGTCAAGGACAACTTCCCATAGTGCTGTCCTAACCAGACTGATGAGCTCTGTGGACACGAAAATCCGAGCACTAACAGAGGGCTACACAGCAACAAAGAAGTGAAAGATGACGATATCAGTGACGCTGGTCTCTAGGTAATGACAGCAGGAGCTGACACCTGCCTGGGAACAGCCACCTGCAACAGGCATGCAAAGCCTTCTGAAAGGTCCAGAAATTCAACTTCTCAGCTCCACAACTTCTGAGCACAAAGCTGAAGTAGCATCCTGTCTTTGACCCATTCTCTGTATTTCGCTGGAGAATTCACGCAGGGTGAGGTCCAGCCTCACCTATAGCCCGGGTGCACCTGCACTGCCCCCCATTGCAGACATTCCTGAAGAGCACACACATCTGCTCCTCTCCCCCAAGAGCGCCCCCTTTGCCATCCAATCTGCCCCCCCCCCCCCCCGGGCCTTCCAGGCTTGCAGTTCATGGTGCTGAGGACGGTGGGGGACCTGCCTGTGGCACAGGCTGAGGAAGCCCCACGGGCCGCCACACTCACTTTGTTTGACATCTGCTGGCACTGCTGCTCTGTGGTGTGGATCAGGGTCTGGTCCAAGTCGACCATGAGCACCAGCTTCCTGTTCCGATGCAGTCGTTGCTGGTCTTCCCTCCCTAGCTGCTCGGCTTGCTGAAGTTAAAATGAAAAAGGAAAAATGACAATGCAAGTCTATCTGGATCCAAAATTAATTCAATTTTATTAAGAAAAACAGGTGGAAGCTGAGCATATTCTTCACTGCCCCCTGCACTGCCTGCCAGTGGACCCATTGCTGTTGAGATCATGTGGGGCCACAGGGCTACTCCCCTGCTGCCTGGAGCCTGCAGTGTGTACCACACCCTGCAAGGCATTCTGCCTTGTGATCCTAACTCTGTCATTTCACGAAAGGTGTAAACCAATGAAAAAGGAGGTAAAAGGAAGTGGTGGTTCCTATAAAAGTTTAGTTGGATGCTGTGGAGCAACTCAACACCGTGAACTGCAGAAGGAATGGGGAAAGTGGGACGGTAGGCTGGGACAAGGACAACTAGACATGAGGTGCAGCAGCAGGCATGTGGGATGCATCTCAGGTGCCCGCCACTCGGCTTCACCTTGGAAAGGGCCCAGGTGGGTCCTGGAGACGGCATGGCCCAGATGTTGCCCTCGCGGGCCAGCGGGGACACTGCTCTTGGAAGGGCCCGGTCCTACCACAGTCAGCGATGAGAGGACTGATGTGGGCCCATGACAAAGACTTTGGGGCCTGCTAATTCAGAAAAGCCTGAATCATGTATCTGGTATTTTGTCTTTCTCAAAAAAAAAAAAAAAAAGTAGGTATCACTTAAAAGCACAAATCTAGAAAAATCCTGTAACAATGTATCACCTGCTCACACAGATGTAGAGCTCTGAAACTGCTTTATAACTGAGTTTTTATACAACCCCACAGACGCGTTCCTGTGCTCTGTCCTGGCGATGCTCACTCAGCCCATTAGACTCAGACCACAGAAACATGAGGTGTCAGGGTTCTTGGAATGCATAAAAGGGACAGATCTGGTAAAACTCCAAACGTCCTATTGGTGCAGACACCTTCAATTCCTGGGCAGCTGGGCCTGCTGGTACACAAATGCACAGGGGCCCCCCTAGGAGCTCTGAGGCCTCTTCAGGGTCCCTGCACCCATGTCCACTCCACAAGCACCTCTGATGCCCTTGACTCTACCCAGGTCACCTCTTGCACAGCCACCTGTCCTGGTGGCAGCTGCTCGTGGGCTCTAACCCTGGCCCTCAGCCTCAACTAGATCCGCTGGTCACAGCATGTGTTCCCATGTCTAATCCCTCCAGCCCAGACCTGGCCCCAGGGGACTGGAACCAAAGCCCTAGACAGCAGGGAGCCGGGTGCCTCCCAGGTGGAACCACTTGGGAAAGAGACAAGTGCAGCCCCCATACTCGTCGTCCTCCCAGAGGTCACTTCGGAGATAAAGGTGACCAAAGCCCGGCACGTTCTCCGGCTGCCCTCTCCCTGCTCTGGAACCCACGAGCGGCACTCACCTCGGAGCTCACCATCAGCTCCGGGACACTGTGCACCATCGACACGGTGGCTGTGGACAGTGGCATCTGCTGCCTCCCGTTCTTGCTCTGCAGCCTGCGGAAGCGAGAGGGCTGTCAGGTGGCTGCCTTCGGCTGCTAACCAATGCAGCGAGCACTTTCATTTCCATTGTGGTCGATGTGCTGCTGGCAACTGTGGAACGTTGTCCACTTAAAACACACAGGAGACTGGCCAAACGATGACGTTCCAGTCCCTCACAGAGCTCCGCTGAAAACACACGGATGTCACCCTGACACAGGCACTCCATGGGGAAACAGCCAGGCAGGGCACCCCCTATGCACACCGCAGGGTCAGAAACGCATCTCTACTCACTAGTGCTTCCCTCCCGCAGCGGGTGACTGGGCGAGCTGACCTTAGAGCAGCCAGGTTCCCAACCCCCACCCGTGCCCTCCACCCTTCACCTCTGTACCCACCGTCCCCCTTCCAACATGAAAGGCACTGTGCTCACGCCGGGTCAGTACTTACTGGGTCAGGTCTTGGCCACACTCGGCACACAAACCCTTCATGACGACTGGGTGGCTGCATCCTTCGACTCGCACCAGAACCGCTCTAGAAATGGGGGGCAAAAAGCAGAAATCAGAAGGGAGACACTGGGACTCTGGTTTCTCACTCCTCTCCCTGAGAGGGAGGAAGACCTGGCTGCTGCACGCCTCCCGGGACGCCTGTGCTCTGGCTGTAAAATGAAGGACGGACGTCTCACCTGTGGGCTCCACTCACCTAAAACACAACAAACCACATAGAACAGGTGCAGGAACTGAAAATGTCCTGTCAGGAGAGGAAACGTGGGGGAAACATGAAAACTATCTCAAATCCTCTTACATTTATGATAAACAATCTACAAAAACTGAAACTTTGTTAATACAACAAGGAACAATAATACCAACAATAAATGGCTGCCTCCCCCGTGTTCCCAGTGCAGAGAGAGGCTGCGATGCATCTGCACTTCTGATAGACTACTGCAATAGTTCCAGTTTCTACAAACTCAGAAATTACCATTTTCTTTGCATGGGTGGGGCCCAGGCGAGGGCCTCGCTGTCCCGTGTCTGCAGCCTCTAACCCCAGCGCTGATTTGTCCCCATCACCTTATTCCTCTCCCTGGAGCATGCTCTCCCCTGCCATTAACGCCATCTAAACCTCTAGCCAAAAATCTGCTCCCGTTTCCTGTCTAAAACAAACAATAAGAGGAACAGACCAGCCCCTGCACTGGACCCCCCACAGCTTCTCACCCGACCTTCCCAGAAGCCTTTTGCACCTGTCCCCAGCTTCCTGTCCACCCCCTCTGGGCACCCTGAATTCCTCATCTCTCACCAATGGTCTTCTGCCTCTGCTTTCCAGAGCTGGAGCGCTGCCACCTCGCCTCCGGCCCTCCGCCACCTCCCCTGTGTGGCTCGTCAGCACCCCACCTATACCCAAACCCCACCCTCAGCACCCCTTCTTCCAGTAATCCAGGCTCAGTGACCCTCACAGGAGCACCAGCACCCTCTTCTCCAATCCCACCCACCTCTCCCAGTCCCTCCGGGTCAGCCCTGAGGACACTTGCCCAGCTGCTGCAATAAGGACACACCCTCTCTTGTCGACGGGGTCCCACCCACTTTCCCAGACCCCCTTCAGTGCTGATTCAGGCTCCATCCCCACTGGGGCCCTCCCTCACCGGAGAACATGTGGCAGAGTTAGCAAAGGGACTTGAGGCCTTTCCAAAAGTCAAAGGTGCATTTTGATCCCTGGCTAATGGGTCTTTTGAAGGAAGCTTGTGGGGCCCTGGAACCTGGTAAAAACCTGCTGTTTGCCCCTGGGAACATGGTGGCAGGTTTTGTGAGAAACTGAGCAAACGGGCTCGTTCGCCCGTCTACAAGGTTTAGAAGTGCCGATGCTGCTTATGTTCACTGCAGGTTCTGCGGTCCTGCTATCCCGTGAGAACATATGGACCACATCCCACCAGTGAGCAAGGGCACTGAAGTCTGCATTTATTCACTTTACTTACTTTTAAACTAAAACTTATGACTTGGAGGATATTTTTTTCAGGAATTCCCAAAAAGAGTACCAGGATTTCATCAATTGCCCCTAATAACATTAACCTGAAGACATACTTGGTGTGTCTCTAGTTCAACCAATAAACAGGTCGAAATGCTTAACAAGGTATAGGTTTCCAGTCTATAGCCTGCCTTTTTGTTTTCTTAACTGTTTTTTGAAGACAGAGTTCTTAGTTTTGATCAAGTCTAATTTATCTGTATATTTATTAAGAAGACTATCTTGCCCAGGATCACTAAGATTGGATGGGAACCCAGAGTGGGACCACTAACTATAGACCAGTGGTTTTCAACTTTTTTCATCTCGTGGCACACAGAAGCTAATTACTAAAATTCTGCGGCACACCAAAAAAATACCCGATGGCTATCGTTGGTTGTTATCATTTTTTTGTTTGACAATCTAAGGGAAAAGAGGTCAGTGCCTCTGACTAAACAGTCAGGTATTGCATGTTTTAAAAATTGTTGGGGCACACCAGTTGAAAATCGCTGCTAGAGGATTAACTCTAAGGTGGAAGGAAGGTCCTAACAGATGATGAGGAAGCAGGGAGAGGCCCTGGCTTGAGGCTCCCGAGGTCAGAGCAAGAAGAGCATAGAGCGGTGGCTTTGAGACCAGAGGGTCCAGCTGAAGGGCACCGGGCACCGAGTAGGCAGGTAGACAAGCCCCATGGCACCAGAGCAGGTGCTCCTGCCAAGGGAGCCGGCCCAGAGAGTGCCCCATCCCCAGAGCAAACCTGCCTCCTGAAGCCCGCCAGGACCCAGGGAACATGGGAGGAAAGAAACGAGGGAGATACAAACAACAGGAGGTTCTCCTGGGAACCAGCAAGCGAGGGACAGGGGCCATTGGCAGAGGGCACAGGGGAATGCAAGCCAGGAAGTGGACGGGGCCAGGGTGTCACCACCAACAAGGAAACAGGCAATGATGGGCCTTTGGGGAGCCCCAGTGATTAAGGATGGGTGGGAAAAAGAATGACAATTAAAAAGAAATCAGTGTCACAGACTGCACAGCCAGGCCCGTGACAGACATCAGGGAGGTAGCGTCTCAGAGAAAGAGGGTGTCAATGTTAAATGCCCCCAAGAGGAACCAGATGAGGTTAAAATACAAGTCTGGACGAGGGAGATGTCCTTATCTTGACCGAGTGGTTGTTTCCAAGGCACATCTGTCAAGACTCACCAAACTGCACCCAAAACACATGCGCTGTACGTGCTGGTCACAAACACACGGGCCCAGGCCACTGGATTCATCGATAGTGTCGGTGTCCTTTCAGAAAGACTCTCCGGCAGATCACCACAGGAGGAGAGAGAAGGGCCCAGACTGCTCCCAAAGGACTCATACCGGCAGCCTCAGGTCCCCTCCCATCTTCTCCCTACACCTAGACAGCCCTGCCCCCTAGCCAGCTTCTAACTTGTCCCCTTATGACCAAGGGAAGCCCACACAAAAGCCACTTTCCTGTCACCCTGCAGATCTCTGGGACCTCACCATACCACTCCACAGCCTGTGACCCAATGATGTGCCCCCAAGCACGGCTATAGGTCCCCTTGGCACAGGACGCACTCCACCTGGACAACCCCTGCCTCACCCTTCTGTGTGAAAGCCCCGGCCACGTGCCCCCACACCCATAGCTGCACAGAGGGCAGAACATCACGGAGAACGGCTCTTCACTGGTGCTGAGCTTAGCCTCCATCAGGCACAGGCTGGTGGGTTTACCGGCTCATTGGGCCCCAAGAGGTCAGGTGAGATGACTTCAAAGCAGTGATGACAGCAGACAACATTGTGTCAGACAGACAACAGTGAGCCCCTCCCTCTAAAGCAGTGGTTCTCAACCTTCCTAGTGCCGCGACCCTTTAATACAGTTCCTCATGTTGTGGTGAACCCCAACCATAAAATTATTTTCGTTGCTACTTCATAACTGTAATGTTGCTACTGTTATCAATGGTAATGTAAATATCTGATGTGCAGGATGTATTTAGGCTACACCTGTGAAAGGGTCGTTCGACCCCCAAAGGGTCGCGACCCACAGGTTGAGAACCGCTGCTCTAAAGGAAGCCAGGCAGCCGGCTTCAGTGGAGGGTGCCATCCTGAGGCAACATCCATTCCCGCCCCTGCTTTCAGGGGGCAGGCATAGGCACCTGAGCTGAAGGAGCGAGGAGAGTGGATGCAGGCGGAGACTCCCGGGGATGGGATAAAGGATGGCCTTATCCCATCCTGTCCTCATCATTAGCTTCCAGAGGGGGCACAGCCCAGCAGCTGAGGGTCAAGTGCAGCCCCAGGGGGAGGGGAGGAGGCCAGAGTGAGCAGCACCACCTGAGGAAGGCAGGAGTGGACAGAAAGCTGAATGGGGGGGCGGGGGGGGGGGGCGGGTACACTGTGGCCCCCATAGGGAAGCTGTGCACTAACCACTCCAGCAGGAGGCAGGAAATTTCACCTGCCCCCTTTGTTCTTGACAATGAAAACCATCAAGAGTCATGTGCGCACACACACCTGTGTCCACTTCAACCTGATCTCAAGACCACACAAACTGCGCACTGACAGGTTCACACACCTCAACAGAGGAAACCGTCCCTTAAGAAGGTCAAAACTAAGGACCCGCAGCCGAGCCAATCCTAGGAGGGTGTGCTACCTACCACCTGCGCCCAGCTGCACCTCCTTCCTGAACTATGATGCAGGACCGCACCAGGTTTTACAACCGCGTTCCGCAAAGTTTATGAGAATCTGAAGTGCACACCCCCAGGAGTTTATAGCGCGATGACAAGCGTGGAGCACGCTGATTCGTTCCATACTCACTGTCGCCCCCAGTTTTCCTAACTTACAAACAAGGCGCCTTAGGGACAGGCACCTACTGCAGAAGAGGGGGCACAACCGAGTTCTAAAGAAAAACCATAAATCGTGGCTGCGATGCATTAGAGTCTTACTCTGCAAAGTTCTCCCC